GCGTCCCGTGGCGAATCCCCCTGGCACGTCGCGCGGCGCGTCCCCTGGCACGTCCCGTGGCACGTCCATTGGCACGTTCCGTAGCGCGTCCCCTTGGCACGTCCCGCGGTGCGTCCGCATGGCACGTCCCCTGGCACGTCGCCTGGCCCGTCACTCGGGACGTTCCGCGGCGCGTCCGCCTAGCATGTCCCCCTGTCAATGAGCTGTGGGGCAGCTACTCTGTCTTCAGGCAGCTCGAGCTTAAGTTCCAGATCAGTTCGGTCAGGAATCGGATGCAAAGGATGACTCGAACCACAACACTATAGAGCACACTCGCAGCATGGCACATCACAATTCAGCACGGCGTAGCACAGCACAGCCCTCGGCACAGTACATCAAGACCGATACACTCAGCATTGCATTTCCCTGTCGCCCAATCAGAGGCCTTTGAAACGTTGCCATGCCTTGTATTGCTATACTCCTTTCCGGGTTCGTGGGTCAATCATGTTCCCAAAATGGGCTTCGGTCCAAGGTCGCCTTTCAGAGATTTACCCCCGACCTCGCCCTGAAGGAGGCCGGCAGAACGATTCCGGAATACATAACGACATCGAAACGGGCCAGCGAATAAGAACGTTGAGGATGTCCCCAGTGAGACGCGCGTTTTGAAAACATGTGTTGACGATGTGTCAAGCGAAACGCTGGTTTTGCAGAGTTCGGGGATGTCTCGAGCGGGGGCCTCGTCGGGGGGCGAACTTCAGGGGATGTCTCAAGCGAAATCCTTGTTTTCACGTGCCCATGTCGCCCAAAAGGATATCTAGTTGCCCCTTCTTGAAACTACGTGTTTTCTGGCTGGAACTATATCTTTTTTACATGTCCAGGCCACCCAGATGGTGATCTCGAGCTGGAACCACGTACATTCACGTGTCCAGGCCACCCAAAGGGTATCTAATATGGTGGCCCCTCCCTGGAACAACGTGTTTTCACGTGTCCAGGCCAACTGGAAACAACTGTTTTCTCACATGTCCAAACCACCCGGGGCAGTATCCAACACGGTTGCCCCGAGCTGGAACCACATTCTTCTTCGTGCGCGGGGCACCCACTTGGGGGCTTCTACCAAGTGGTCGTCTGTGGGCCCCCGGCGTGGGGGCCCACAGTGGCCAAGCAACGCCAATAAATCGGCACCATATGCAATAACCTGATACGGTTCCTTCGACTGGTGATTTTCCAATCCCCCTGGGGTATCGAGCATGGTGGCCCCGGGCCAAAACCGATTTTCGTGTCCAGGCCACCCAGAGACGCATCTAACATGGTGGCCCCAAGCTGAAGCCACGTGTGTCCGTGTGTCCAGGCCACCCAGAAAAGGGGTATCTAACATGGTGGTCCCGAGAAGAACCACGTGTTTTCACGTGTCCAGGCCACTCCGTGCGATATCTAACGTGGTGATCGTCTGCTCGAACCGCGTGTTTACGTGTCTGGACCACCCATAAGGGTATCTAGCATGGTGGTCCCGAGCTGGAACGGTATGTTTCCACGTGTCCAAGCCACCCAGGGGGGTAACTAAGATGGTTACCTCTTGCCCCTCGCTGGAACAACATGTTCTCATGTGTCCAGGCTACCCAGAGAGGTATCTAACGTTGTGGTCCCGAGCTGGAACCACGTGTTTTCACATATACCCAGGCCACCCAGGGGGGTGTCTGTCACGGTGGCCCCGAGCTGGAACAACGTGCTTTCACGTGTCCAGGTCGCCCAGACAGGTACGTAACATGGTTGCCCCCAAGCCACGTTTTTTCGCGTGTGCGAACCACCGAAGGGGGGTATCTAGCATGTGGTCGCCTGGGCGCCCCAAGCGCGGGGAGAGGGGCCCGCAAGAGCCAGGCAAAATCAATACATCGGCACCATCTGAATAATCACGTGGTACAAGTTCGTCAGCTTGCGATTTTCAAAATCCTCCACTGGCGTATCGAACATGGTGGCCTCGAGCTGGAATCACTTGTTATCGCGTGTCCTGGCCACCCGATGGGTGCCTGAAATGGTGGCTCCGAGCTAGAGCCACGTGTTTTCACACATCCAGGCCACCCAGACGGGTATCTAACGTGGTTGCCTCCCAGCTGGAGCCACGTACTGTTACGTGTGTGGGCCACCCAAGGGCGGGGGGGGAGGTCGAACATGCTTGCCCCGAGCTGGAGCCTTGTGTTTGCACAACCACATGTAAGATCTCCGCCCCTGGGAGGCCTGGCCACGTGAAAGCACAGGGTCCCTAACGCCTCAGAGCCGGGCGAGCGTGAAAACACACGTGCTCCTAACGGCCCGCAGCGTTTCTGCGTATGCCCCCTCGCCCTCGGCGCGTTCTCTGGCTCGTCCTCTGTCGCGTTCCCTGGTTTTCCGCCTGGCGCTTTCCCTGCCCGTTCCCTGGCGCGTCCCTTGCCACGTCCCCGCGCGAGTCCCTAGGCGCATCCCCTAATGCGCCCCTGGCACATTCCGTTGCGCGTCCATGCGCCCTGCGCCCCGTGCCATCTCGTGCCGCTTCGGAGCTGCGTCGGATCTTGAGTTCGAGCTGATTGAACGTCCCACGCGTTTCGACTGCAGCCAGCCCTGGGCCAGCTAGACGCTCAGGCAGCCAGAGGTTAAAATGCAGATCAGTCTGGTCAGGATTCGAATGCCTAGGACAATCCTTGGCACGGTACATCACGATCGATTTCTTCAGCATTGCAGTTTCCTGTCGCCCAATCAGGTGTCTTGAAAACAGAGCCATTCCCTGACATGTGTTTAAACTCCCTTCCGGGCTCGTGGGCAGATCATTTTCGAAGGGTTCTTGGGAGCCACAACGCCACCCTCATCCCCCCCACCCCAAGCCAGGACCCCCTGGATCACCAGGTCAGGAGTGGGGGCCCTGGCTGGGGGGTGGGTTCCCAGACCCCCGACGTCATGCTTTTGTTCATACCATCGGCCCTGGAAATCTCGACCCATTCCCTGGGACTGGTTTTTCGTCCTTACTCGTTTGTAGACGGTCCCGAGGCCCAGCAAGAGCCCCCAGAGGCCCAAAATAGCGAAAAGCTTCCCGTCTTGCTTTTTGTCGTGACTCGATGGGGTCTGGGCTGTGCTGTCCTCCGGAGGCGACCTCTGGGGGGATCGGGGCAGCCGCCAGTCGGGGTGAACGCCCACGAGGACTCAGTTGTTGCTAGAAGTGCACCTGGCCCAGGGTGACCCCAGGATTTCCAAGGAGGCCCCCACGGCCTCCAGAGCACCCCCCGCGAGGCCCAGAGGCCCCCGGGGGCTCCAAAATCGAGCGAAAAGCTGGGGGCACCTTGTTGAGCAGGGACCGACCGTCCCGGCATTCCTATAGTCTTACCTCGAAATGTTCTTAGAACCCACAATGTTTCTCAGAACGAAAACAAGGTTCGTAGAACATGAACCCGATGTGTTGAAACAAGACTAGTCCCGCAAGAAATGGTCTAAGAACATGTCGTGGAAACCACAAGAGGTTCTGAGAACATTGTGCGGTAGACCTATAGGCACGCCAAGACGCTTCGCCACGGCTTGAACCCCCGAAGTCCGGGATCTTCTGACCAGGGTTAATCCAGACCCGGGTCAGTCAGGCCTTGCATAATCCTGCAAGATCCTGCACCCAGACCCGGGTCAATGCGAAGGATCCTGCAAAACCCTGCAGGATCCTGCACCCAAGCCCGGGTCAATGCGACCCTGGCCCTGCACGATCCTGCAAGGTCGGGGCGCTCTGGCTGACCCCTGTTTGCATTGACTAAAACGACGCGAAGATCGGGACAAAATCGGATCAGGATAACTCGAAATCTCTGAGAATCGGCGGGTTTGGAGGATGTACTCGGCGCCGCGGCCGCTCCATAGCGTTCCGGAACGCTCTGAGAGCGATCCGGAACGCTCTGCAGCGATTTATCCCGATCCTAGCCTTGCTTTATTGACCCCCACCTCTTGAGCCCCGACGAAGGACGCAGCGCTCCAAGAGGCCGGCCCCCCGGAGCCGACTGCCCGGGGACCGCAAGAGCAGCGCGGCGCAGCGGCAGGGCAGGGCAGGGCGGCAGGGCAGGGCAGGAGGCACGGCCGAGCGGCAGGGACTGCGGCGAGCGAAGAGCCACACAGCCAGGCGACAGACTAAGGTCGGGCCTGTCCCCCCACACGGGGAATGTCGGGCGACAGATGAAACATGCTACAAACATGCGCCCCAAATGCTTGAACATAGTCCCAAAATAGTCCCCGGACTATGCTTTGACTATTTTGAATTTCCCTTCTCTACAGGGACAGGCCCGACTTAAAAGCCAGGCTGCTGGGATCAGGAGCGCTGGATCATCAAGGAACGGAGCCCCCGGTTCGGGACCACCCCAAATGGCAGCCGCCCGACGGCACCGCACTCGGGGAGACGTAAGACTCGGGTACGGGGGACTCGGGTTGTCCTGACGGGGTCCATCATAAAAATGACGAGACCCGATCTAAAATTTGACGCGGGCTCCCGCTGCAGACATCCCACGAAAACGGCACCGTCAAAACTCAGGACGCGCTCGCCAAAAAAAATCGGCAAACCCGAGTTCCGGCTTACCCGAGTCCTACGTTTTCCCGACGCACTGACAGCAGCACCCCGACCAGGGACGGCGGCGAGGCCGTGTGGGCCGGCGGCACGGGCGGAGCGATGCAATCCCAAAGGAACGGAGCCCCCCCTTGTTCGGCAGCAGGAGGGCCCGGGTGCGCGCGGAGTGCTCGAGGCACACCCGCGGCGAGGCCTCAGGAACCGGAGGGCCCCTGCCGCACAAGCCGAGCGGTCCTGATCTCAGCGCCTGGGCCGTGCCCGCACCCACCGGCCGGAGGGAGTGGGCAGAAACGTGAAGCATGAAGGCGTTGAGAAAGTAGATTGGGGTCCGTCCGCGACCTTGGGAGGACGGAAAAGGCGAAGCCTCTCGAGCATTGAATTAGAAAGGCGCCTCAAACAGATTGGAACCTGGGAATCCCAAAATACCCGCTTTCGACGACCGATGGGTACGTGCATGGCAACGTACATACGGAATGGCGCCTGCGCGCGAATCTTTGTGGGACCGGCATCGCTGACGGCAGCAGCCGTAACCGTGCGAGACGGGCCCCGACGCAGCGCAGAGATGCGCTGGAGCTGCCTTTGCGTGCTTCTAGGCTTTGCGAGGGGTGCGCCTTCACGACTCTTCTTGCTGATCTAGATGCCGCTCCGCGTACGCCCAAGACTGGGGGTCCTCCATGCGATCCAACTCGTCCTCGGCCTCCTCAACATTCTCGGCGCACCTCTCAGAGGCGACGGCGCAAGCTGACGGCCACGCATCCTCTGCATCGTCCACCCCGGTCCCCAGTGCGGCCGCATCTCTGTCGCCGGCAGCGCCCGCCAGCCTCTGCCACAGGCTGGCGGGGTCGCCGAAGACGAGCTCCTGCGAGCCGTTGACCACGCGCCACGCCCCCCGCCGGACCTCGCCCTCGAGCTGCCGCGGCGCCCAGCCCGCGAAGCCTCGCAGCCGCAGCAGGGGCCCGCCGCTCTCCCGCGGGAACTCCCCCGGGGCGTGCGCGCTACCACTGCCGGTCTCCCTCCACCACACGCCGTCCAGCACCTGCACCGCGCCAGCGTCGTCCGCCCACACGTCGCCGCTGCGCGGGCGCTGCCAGGAGGGGTCCCGGCCCAAGCTGTTCCCAGAAATGAATGTGTGCGTGTGTGTGTATATATATATATGTTCTTTATTTGCTTAGATTTGTTTGTTTTGGGAGGGGGCCTCTCTGGGGCCCTCTGGGCCTCGAGGGGGGCGCCCTGGAAGCAACCTTGCGCCTCCCCGGGGAGGATGGGGGGGTCGCCTTGGCCCAGGGCCACCTCTGGCAGCGGCCCGCGCTGTAGAGGTGAGCGCCGTAGGTGTTCTTGTGCACGGGGCCCCCGCGGAAGAGGACAGTGCGGCCGTTGGCGCTCATGGGGCGGTTGATGATGATGGGCCCAATCTTCTACCACCACTACCATATGATGGAGGAGGAGGAGGAGGAGGAGGAGGAGGAGGAGGAGAAAGAGGACCTCCTCATCCTCCATTCTCCCCCGTATGGCAGTGGTGGTGGAACATTTGCCAATCAGATGATGAAGCCCTTAGCGCCCCAGGCCGAGTGTTCCACGAGCAGCACCACCGAGCGGGCGAAGATGCCCGTCCGGATGCGGTCGGTCGCCACCAGCAGGCTCCCGACGCCCAGGCCCACCACGCCTGGCTGGAGCTGGCCCGAGAGCCAGGCGTAGGAGCCAGTGGCGACCGTCCAGCAAAACGGGATCGCCAGCAGAAGGGGAAGGTTGACCAACGCCCGCCCCAGGAAGGACCCCGCCTTGGGCGTCGGCGAACGGGGGGCGATAAGTGGGTTCGGGGGGGAAGGAGGTGCAATCCTCGGGCCCGAAAGGCCTCCGCTTGGGGCCCGAAAGGGCCCCTTCCGGGGCCCCAGAGGGCCCCTTTTCTGCACCCCTCGCTGCCCCCCCGTTTATCGTACCCCTCATTGCAGTCGGACCCAGGCCAGAAGAACATCTCTCAAGAACATGAGACCCTCCGTCGGCCAACACGGACAAAACATTGAAGGGCACCCTCCCCAGGATGCAGAAGAACATCCAACAAGCACGAAGAACACCAGGGCACCCTCCCCGAAGCGACCTCGATCTTATACCTCGGCCCGACTGCACTCGACGCCCGACCACCAGCCGCAGCTGCAGCGCCGGCGGGACGCCGCAGCGGAAGCGCTGGCGGCAGATGTCGCAGGTGGTAACGCGGTCGAAAGCGCTGATCGGCCCGCGCAGCACCGTGCGCTGCCACTCGCGGAGGCAGCCCGCGTGCACCCACTTGGCCGAGCCCTGGCAGGCACACGGCGCCAGCAGCTCGTCCTGGGGCACGTCGCCCTGCAGGCAGATGCGGCAGGTGGCGCCCGGCTCCGCGGCCTCGCGCGCGGCGGGCGCCGCCGCCTCGGCGGAGCCGCCCGAGGCGCGCGCCATCCGCGCCCGCCGCGCGCGAGGCGCGGCGCCGGCCCGAGGGGGCGCGGGGCGCGCAGGGCGCGGCCCGGCCTCGGGCGCACGGGCCGGGGCCAACTGGCCACCTAGGGGGGCCGGCCGGGGGAGGTGCGAGGCGAGGGGCCGTCCAGGGCCGCTGCCCGGGCATCGCCGTTGGGGGGGGTGCCCCTGAGGGCGGTGGGAATCGGACACGGTGGCCCCCCCCCCTCCCGGGGTTCGAGGATCCTACCCACCGCCTGCCGAGGTATCGGTCTCCTGCAGTGCGTGTGGCGCGCCGTGCTACACAAGGCTGGCAGTTCGGCAGGAGGTAATGGAAGAGACGCGGCGAGAATCGACAAAAGGTAAGACGAGGAGAACGGCGAGAGGACCAGTACGAGCCGAAACAGGAGTGAACCCGTGGCGAGCGGCAGCGCAACGTGGCGCGACGAAGCGCAAAGAAGCAGACCGTGCAAGGAACAAAGGCAGGAGTCGAGTCAAGGCTGGGCAAACAGGGAACGTGCGCGTCAGCAGGACGCAGCGGAGCAAACAGGCCCCACAGGAACGCGGGGCCCTCCAGATTCCCGTGGGGTCCTCAAGGAGCCGTGCTGCGGCCTTCTCCCTCGCGAAGCTCCCGGACCAAGAGGTGTTTGAAACGCCCGCGGACGGCCCGAAGGAACCTCGGCAGCGCGCACAAGGGGGCAGCGCAAGGGGAGGGGGCGGCTCTCTAGGCTTGTGGATGCCACGACAATGGACACCCTAACAGTCCTACCATTGAGCTCAAGGTGTGTGTTCAAATGAAAAACATGTTACAACACGTGCCAAACATGATTTCTAACATACTTAAAACATGTTCGAAGCATCTTTTAGACATCTGGAAATTATTTGGCAGCATGCTTCCTCTCGACTTCCACAACTCGAGGGAGCCCAGAGGGGCTCCGAGAAGGCAGGTCCCCCCTGCTCGCAGTGCCGGAGTGGCGCCCGTCGGTGCCGAGCCGAAGTGGCTAATTACGGATGCAGGGCAGTTCCTTTTCTGGCCCGTGCCTGAAAAAAGCTCCTCGGTGATCTGCACGATGGCTGAACACAAGTGCACGGGAGAAAAGTGGGCAAGCAGGAGGAACAGAAGCAGGTGTGAGACGACGAAAGCGATGATGATGATGATGATGATGATGATGATGATGATGATGATGATGATGATGATGATGATGATGATGATAATGATGATGATGATGCTGATGATGATGATGATGATGATGATGGTGATGGTGATGGTGATGGTGATGGTGATCATGATGATGATGCTGATGATGAGGATGATGAGGAGGATAAGGAGGGGGACGAGGAGGAGGAGGAGGAGGAGGATGAGGGGGAGGAGGAGGAGAGTGCGGATGATGAGACAGCTGCATTTGGCTGACCCAGAACGCGGAACGCGGAGCGACGCTTCTTCGCGACTGCGTGCAGCAGAACATGCAACTCAGGCTTGAGTGAGGGGGAGGGCCAGGAGGAGCAGCTGTTGGCGTGGGGCCGGTCGCCCTCGACGCGAGACCGCGGCTCGCGAGGCACGAGGGTCGAGCAAACGGGCACGCGCGCCTCCGCGGGCAGGGAGAGAGCTGCTGCGCAGCGGGAAGGGCTGGGAGGGATGGGGCAGGAGGTCAGACGAGGGCGCGGCCGCGCCCAGCCCGCCCGCCCCCCCCCCCCCCCCTTCCTCCTCCTCCTCCCCCTCCCCCCTCCTCCTCCTCCTCCTCCTCCTCCTCCTCCTCCTCCTCCTCCTCCTCCTCCTCCTCCTCCTCCTCCTCCTCCTCCTCCTCCTCCCTCCTGCGCGTGGGTGCTGCGGGAACGCACAGGTTGCAGGACCTTCCTGGGCTCCGTGGCTCATAGCACCCGGCCGACGGCCGACTGAATGCGACCGCCTCCCTCCTCCCCATCCTGACGCGTCAGACCTGTGCCCGCAGAATCCTGGGGGGGCAAATGGCCCACCTGTAAGCAACCTCATCCTGCTCGGCCCGGGTCGACTTCTCAGCTGCAGGGGTGGCACCGTGACTTCGTCTCGCGATCGGTCCTATCCCCCTCCCCCTATGCTTCCGGACCTTCCGCCCTAACCTTGCGCCCCTTTTTCGATCTGATCTGTGTGGGTTTCCTCGAGTTGCGTAAGGTTTCCATGAGTCTCGATGAATTCGTCTGCACCTTCCGCGGAGGTCGGAAGGTACTACGGTGAGGGCATTGGATAAAGAATCCTTCGATCAGGCACCCAATGTCTGGAAGCCGGTGGAACTCAAAGCGCGGAGTTGCCTATGGATATCACCATCGCCCTCATCAGCTAAGGAATCCTCCAAGGTCTGAAGCCTCCTGGGCACGTTCCTTAACGAACGCACCCACCGTATGGAAGGTGAAGGAGGGGGGACTCGATCCCTTGCCCCTTTCTCGTTTCTTTACGCTGGGCCGCCCGGGACCATCAGAGCAGGGCCGCCCCAGCGCTGCGGCGGGTGGCGGCAGCAGCCAGTGTTAGTCCCCCGGCTTTCGGGGTAAGAGCCTTCAGCACGACGGCACGCAGGCTACTGCAATGCCCCATGCCGAGTCCGACAGGACCCCTGAGACCGTTTCCCAAATGTTCGGTGGTGACATGGGTGATCCGTGGGGGGCGCGCAAACATGGATTAGCGATCCATGGATTTGGCGCGCGGTCGCCAAATCCACGGATCGGGGGAGGTGCCCTCCCCACGGATATCCGCGATTTCCCATGGAAAAGGGACCCGTCGCTAATCCACGCCCCCTTAATTCATGTTTGCGGTGGGAGGGGGGCGGGGGAGGGGTTCGCCAATAGCCTGGCTTTTTTCGCGCTGGGCAACCCCACGTATGCCCGCGCGCATCAGTTCTGCGTGAGCCCTCCGGACCTGCGCAACCCACAAAGTCAGGCTATCCGGCGGGGGGGATGGGCGGGGGCAGCCCCGACGAAGCGCAGGTCATCGCCGGGCGCCGAACAAAGAGCTGTCTCCTTGCTTCCCCCCCGACCATATGGCCTTCGCGCTGGCCAAGCTGTTCTCGTTCTGCCAGAATTCCAGGCACCCCCATGAACGCTTTTGACCCCCCCTGTGGCAGTACATCTTCGGACGCTCTGGGGAAAAAACAATGGGAGTCGCGATTGCGGGTCAAACGGACGCTGGCTCCTTGCGCAGCACTCAGGGGACGATATAGCCACCGTGCTGCCACACAAGGAACGCTGAATAAGGAATGAAAGAGCATTTCTGGCCACGGCAGGCATCGGGGCTCCACGACCTAGATCTAAGGAACGGCCTGACAACCAGAGCCCGCCTCGTGCACGATATGGTCCTTACCTTAGCATCTTAAAGATCATTTCCAGCTGGAGAGGCCGAACTATTGCGCACACGGTGGGCGCCCTCTACGCAAACCGGCTTGGAAAAGTTCGCCAGCCCAGCGGGACAATGGGGTGCTACACGACGTCGGGGCTGCAGGAATGCTGAGCCTGTGTTGGAACCCTCGAGTGCGCGGGTGGCACTGGTGCCACCCCCCTGGTGTACCGACTACAAGGCTTTGATGGCAAGGAGAGTGGGACTCGGTTGTGATGACAATTGCGTGTTCTCTCTTACCATGTTTTGGGCGCCCGAATTATCCGGGGTAACTCGGGTCCGGGGTAACTCGGGTTTGGGTTCCCGAAAAACGAACCCGAGTTAGCCCTGGTCCGAGTTACCCCTGATGATTTTGGGGCTCTGGACGCCCGAATTATCCGGGGTAACTCGGGTCCGGGATAAATCGGGTTCGGAATCCCGAAAAACGAACCCGAGTTAGCCCTGACCCGAGTTACCCCTGATGATTCGGGGCTCTGAACCATGCTGGTCGGTCCCAACTCATCTCGTATCCGGCGCCGGATCCGCGGAGTGGAGCGGCGCAGGCGGACAGCACCGTCATTTCCCCTCCCCTCCTTGCTCCTGCGCGCGCGCGTGCTGGCAAGAGGGAGGGCGGTCGCCTTCAGAATTCTGGGCAGTCTGAAGCGGCGACGTGGCCGCCGAACACATCATCAGAGCGCATGGGGACGAACTGCTCCAATCACAGGCTTGAGATCCACATCTGTTGTATTGTGGGGGGGTGGAACTCGGTCGACACGGCGCTTAGGAAGTCTCCGTGGCCACCCCGAGACGGTCTAATAGCGCTCCAAGTTGGTCCAGCATTGATCGCATGTGTCGCTCTGGCTTCACTTGAGACTTCGCTGCTGCTCAGAAGCGCTCTGTGGGCTGCGACTCCGTGCTGACACCCTCAAGACTCCCCAGGTGCTTCCGGGCCGTATCCCTACAGGCCTCTGCGAGCGCCCCGACATGCTCCTGCAAGGTCTCAGACATGGACACCACATGTCTGTGGTCGGTTAGTCCTGTTCGCTCCGTCTGGCTTTGGATGACCTCAGGCATACTCTAAGGAGTCGCTTCTGGGCCGCCATAGAGCACCTCTAGCTGCTCACAGAGGCCACCCTGAGAAGTCCGAGACAGCCTCAAGAGGGTCACATGACCTCCTCCCCACATGGTACTCTTCAAGATGGTCCCATGGCCCACACCAGCCCCCCCCGGGACGCCTTCGCCAAAGTTCCAAAAGGCCTGATGGTTACATGAGTCAGGCACTCCATTATAAAAGCAAAGAAGTAAACACGCAGTGCACATGCCTTCAGGGAACGAGAGAAAGAGAGAGAGAGAGAGAGAGAGACAAAGAGAGAGAGAGAGAGAGAACGATTGGAAAGAGAGAGAGAGAGGGGAATGTCTACGTAATACGAAAACGATGGAGACGTAAGGAGAAGCATACTAGAGACACACAATCTTAACTTGACAAATCTAGGCTGGCTGGTCCTGGGACTCCTGTTTAACCCTCCGTGAGAAACGTACACCCAAGAGCTCTCCAGTTTGCGTACGTTGAGGCCCAAACAAGGCCCCAACATGTAAATGGCACAGTCGCTGTTCCAACAGGAGCTTCGAACATGTCGGTTCGACAAGTACACCACACAACTGCTTCCAAAATACATCCAGGCAACTACGCGTGGCTGTGGGCACAAACAACAAACATCAACCGCGAAAAATACGTACAACAATCATCTGCGAACAGCGAGCATCGTCCGCAAAACAACGAACACCATCTCCGACAAGCAATTCGCGCTTGAAAATATTAGCTTGGCTTTCTGTGTTGACTTGCGCTAACCACTGCCAGGCTCCAGGTGGTCCTTTACCACGCAACGCGCTATCGATATGATACTCATACATGGCTCCAATTGGACTGTATGCATATGTACATATGAACGCATACCATGCGAAATCACTGAAACGCAAATAAAAATAAAGGTGCGGCAAGCGTGCGCGCGACACCGCACGCACGACGTTGCGCCTGTATGTGCCACAAGAGAACGGCTCGACACGTATACGGCACAATTTGCGCGCGCATCATTCGCGCACAGCGCTGCAATGCACGCTCCTGCTCTCTGCTCGAGCCTCGCTGTGTGTTTGGCACACGTTGGTTACTGGCGCCGTCACCTGCCACGACACCTGGAGACATTTGGGACACCCGGCGCACTGGTGTACGCAACGGCGGGATGTCACGCGTTCATCTCGAGGCCTCGCTTCTCTCTCGTCACGCGTCGGAACCACCCCCTCGCCCTACATAAGTCTCCTTTAGGAAGAACCTTCCTAAAAACCGTCCTAAAACCTTCCTCCGGAGTTGTTCGGAAGACCCTTCCCAAGACCTTCCTCAGGAAAGCTTTGTTTGAAGAACCTCCCAAAACCTTTCTAAAACCTTCCAGCAGCGAAGGCCTCTCAAAACCTTCCCAAAACCTTCCTAAAACCTTCCTGTGACCTTCCTCACACATTCGTAAAACCTTCCCGAAACCTTCCTAAAACCTCAGGAGGGCTTTTTGGAAGAACCTTCCTAAAACCTTCCAGCGGCGAGGGAAGCGGAGGCGAGAGAAAGCGGAGGCGAGGGTAGGGCCCACCTCCGCCTCCCCATCCATCCAGCAGGTTCCCACATATAGCCCTGCATCCTTAGCCACCTGCTGGTCCTTACCGTGCAGCGCTGCCTCCGCTTCCCCTCTTTTCCTCGTCCTCCTCGTCCTCCATCCCCCACTTTTGTTCCAGGTCCTTTTCTTTTCACTGAGAGTTGACAGCCCCTCGGCCGGCTCAGGCACAGCAGTGAGTCTGCACAAAAGACCATCACACTGGAGCACCCAAGCGGCCTGGATACAACAGGCAAGTAGGATCTTCGTGCCTGTGACATTTCATTATCCTCGCCTTGCCCAAATCTCTCACCTCGTGTGGATCCTCATGTGCCCCATCAGACCCAGGCCCCGCTTCGGACTGGAACGTCCGCGACAAGAGATACTCGAGATATTCGCATAATTGCCTACTTCTACAGACATCCTACTGCATTCGTGCATCCCCACCCAGACACCGCGGTCAATTAGACAAATTCGTTCAACCCTCCTCCTGGTCCCCCTGTCGAGAGCCAGTCCGCGTAGCGGATGCACTTGAAGCCACACTTCGAGATCGCGTTGGACCACTCGGTAGCGGGGTCACCCTCGCACGGCGCTTTTTTGTCAGGCTTGGTGTCATATGAAGCCGACCAACAATGAGAACAGCGAATGGGGGCAACAACTTTGCCAAGTGGGCAGGCGCGACACAGACGACCCCGTCCTTCCTTTATCACCCTTTACCCCTCTTCCCTCCACCTCCACTATGCACACCTTCCGATCTCTGCGGAAGGTGCAGGAGAATCCGTCGAAATCTGGAAACCTTACGCAATCCAAGGAACCCCCATCGATCATATCGAAAAAAGGGGCGGAGGGGAAAGGCGGAAGGTCTGGAAGAATGAAAGGGAGGGTTCATCACACCTCATTCCTCACCTCAGTGCTGAAATTCGGTCTGATCAGGCGTACCTTCAGCCAAGCGACAATGACGCGGAGCAGCGAGGCACGGCAGAGGTAGCCTCCTGCACTAAAGCATGCAAGACACGCATGCCGAAGCGGTCCGCCGTATTTTCCTCTCGCTTTTCCCGGGTTGTTGCCCATTCTGAATACTAGTGTCCTCTCTCCCCTGACTCTGTGCGGAAGTTCTTCGACCCTCGCTGCGTGTTCATTTTCTTCAAACAATATTGCCACAGCTGATCTGTTTCATGGTTTGGGGCGATGTCGGCCTGTGCGCGGGCTTGAGGTTGGCACAGGGGTTGATGCTGCCTGGGGAAACATTGGCTTTGTTTACCGTCTGATTGTCTTCGGTGTTTCGTAGGGATGCTCCCGCTGCAGCGTGGGCCTCATTTTCGGATCGGCGCTGTGCCCCCGTCGATCAGAACGGCACTCTCGTCCCAGCGCGGGCCACTTTTTAGGGAACCGAAGTCTATACACCGACGCCGTTGTCTAGCCTCGCACTGGATCTCGCACGGGCAAGCGGATCCTGGCGTATACGGGATCCTGGCGTACACATTCTTCCTTGGAACACGGGGAGAAAGTATACACCACAATACACCCCGACGTCGTCCCCGACCCTCGAAAACGTCCTGGGATTGAGAAACCGCCCGCCACTGGCAATGTATATGCTCCAGTTGCCGAAGCTTTTCTGAACACGAGTCCTTTTTTCCATCGCTGTCGCCCCCCTCGTTTGCTTTGCCCTCCCCCGGGGTCCTCCTGCTCCCCCCGCTCCTTCCGCTCCAGCTCCGGCTGCTTCTGTGCGTCCTCCAGTCGGGGCGTTGACCTAAGGCACCCTAGATAAGGAACGAGGTCCCTTTCTCTCATGCCGGCTTAGACAAAGAGGCGAACCGACGATGCCGGTGCGAGCATTGGTTGGCTTTCGCTGTGTCATGCAAGACGCCGTGGACCACCAGGACACACGCACCGAGAACCAAGGGCTCCGCCCCCCCGCGCAGGCCCGCGCGCGCTCGCCTCGCCTCGCCTCCTGCTTATCCTCCTGCTTGCCCGCATCCTCCTCTTCCTCCAGCGTGCGCAACTCTCCCCTTCCGATTGCGCATGGCACGACGGGTCCCTTTTGAAGCTCCGAGCCGGCTACGACACGCGGCCGCGGATGTAAAGAGACCGGGAAGCGATGGTGGGGAGGGCGCCCAGCCCAGGGATCGGCCTTGGGGGCCCCTGCTGTGCTTTCTGCTCCGTCGGTGCAGGCCTGGTGGCGGGCCCAAGAGGGAATCTGGAAGAAAGCCCGGGCGGCCGACACTTCGCCTGCGGCGTCTGAGGGACCCATAGAACCACCTGCGGCTGTCCCAACCAGACTACCAGGATGTTAGGAAATCGGGACGGAGGGATCGGATTGTGGATGTCACGACACTCGGCACCCTAACAGTCCGATCATTGAATTCGAAATCCGTTAAACATGTAGGAAAATGGTTTAAACATGTTTTGAACCTGTTTTTTTTACTCCAGATTTCGTAATAAAGGGAGGGGGGTCTCATTTCGGGGGGGGTCTCTTCCAGGCTATCTTGGAGGGCCTGGGGGGGTCTGGGGACGATGTTTTGGAGGGTTCTCCCACGGGGGAGGTCTGAAATGGCTTGTCTTGGAGGGTCCAGACCCCCTTCCTTTTATTACAAAATCTGGAGTATTTAAAACATGTGCAATCCATGTCTTAGACATCTTGCAACTATGTGGCAACATGCTTCCTCTCCGTCGATCGTCCTCCGCAAAGGATCGGATGCCGGATGTGGCGCGAGCGCGCGTGGCCTGTCCCTGCACCTCTCTCCCTTCTCCTCCTCCTCCTCCTCCTCCTCCTCCTCCTCCTCCTCTTCCTCCTCCTCCTCCTCCTCCCTTCTCCTCCTCTCCTCCTCCTCCTCCCTCCTCCTCCTCCTCCTCCTCCTCCTCTCCTCCTCCTCCTCCTCCTTCTCCTCCCCCCCTGAATTGTCGACGCGCAGGAAGAATCAGGCCATGCCAACATCACAGTGGAGGGGCCGAGCGGTAATCCCTGGCCGCCGGGTGCGTGGCCGAGGGGGGACTCCGCGGCGCGGACTCTGGGGGTCTGCCGTTGTGGAATCCTCCATGCTCGCCACCACTTGTTGTTCCCCCCCCCCCCTAGGGGATGCCCGTTGTGTTTCTGTTGCCATTGAAGTGTCCCTCCCGGGGCTCGCACCCCAACTCCTACAAGGGAAGGTCTTGAGCCTCTGACTGTGCTGCTGGCCCCAGGTTAACAAAAAAAACAACAACAACAACAACAACAACAATCATTTTACCCGAACGCGTGGTGTTCTCCCCAGTGCCAGGGTTTTCATACGACACCAGGCAATACCCCCACTTCGTGGGGGGGCATTACAAGCTCTACCAAATATCCAAACGACTCTTCGCGACCACCCAAACCCAGCTTCCCGCCCTATGACGTTGGGACACTTCACTTCGTGGCGTGCGGACGACCGTGGCTACTACACTGGCGTGGGGTACACACCCACAGAACTTGGTCACTTATTCGGGGCGCGCATGTGCCCAGCATGGTGCAATTGTGCCATACAATACATAATACAGAGAGACAGAGAGAGAGACAGAGAGCAGACAGAGAGAGAGACAGAGAGAGCGGAGTTGGTCACATTTTTGGGTCAAGTTCCTGGGATGATGGGAATACACAACTCTGTTACATTTGATAGTGTGCACGACACACATGAGATGATACGTACTCGCAAGATAGTTGGTCACATTTGTGGAATTCCTGGGCGGATGTGGGGATACACAAATACCTTTGTTACCAGTGCTAGACATGGTACAGACACTGAGAGAGAGAAGGCGAGACAGAGGAAGAGAGCGGGAGAGAGAGAGACAAAGAGAGAGAGAGACAGAGAGAGAGGAGTTCGTCACATTTTTTAATCAAATTCCTGTGCCGAAGTGGGAATACGCAAAGGCATCAGTTGCATATGACCCGTAGGGTACATGGTACACATGATCATGGTACGTACGCACAAGATGGTTGATCACATCTTTAGGGCAAATTCCTGAGGGATGTGGGAATACACAAGAGAGAGAGAGACGATATGGTTTTCCCGATGGTTGTCTCGATGGTTGTCCCGATGGTTGTCCTGATGATCGTGGTTGTCCCGATCGTCGTCCCCATGGTTGTCCCGATAGTTGTCCTGATGGTTATGGTTGTCCCGATCGTTGTCCACATGATTGTCCCGCTGGTTGTCCCGATGGTTGTTCGGATGGTTGTCCCGATGGTTGTCCCGATGGTTGTCGCGATGCTGCCATACTTTCTTTTTCTATCGCCCAGCCTCGGCGAACAGTGCCGGCGGGGGAACAGGGAGCATACTGCCAGAGCGCACTCATACTGTCATGAGCGGCCAAGGGCATGCGGCATACGGAACGGCACTCATACTGTCATGAGCGGCCAACGGCATACAGCCTACAGACGCGAAGGCTCCTCCTCCTGGGTCCCGTCCGTGATGGCGCCAATCCGCGGCGATACCTGAGGCTGGACAGGTGGCAGCACGGAGGCCATACGCGTCGCAATGGCGACATCAGGGATGTGTCCGAGCACGATGCTCATACGCCTGCTCGCGGATGCCGGGCCCGTGGCTGCGAGAGGAAATACCGCCAAGACGCCCGGGACCTGCACCGTGATACCGAGGTCCAGTCGGTAGTCCATTAGATTCCCATGCGGCGACTGGCCCCACGGTCGGTATACGTCCTGGTGCCACCATTGGTCCTGTGTCGGGTATACCCCGGGCTCGCCCGCGGCAACCCACAGTGCCATACCCTGCGGCTCATACCCCATGGATGGCGCGTGAATGGCGATGAATACGTCCAAGCTCATCAAGGCCCTATACGAAAGCCCCGATACGACCTCGGCGTGAACGCGAATACGAAGTCGATCCAAGATCCTGCGAAGGCCGGCATACATCCACTCGCCGTGCCGGACGAATACGTCGCGTGTCCAGTCACGTATGCCGGCGGTGGCGCTGAGCTGCTCGAGCACATACGCGAGCGTGCCCAGTACCCGCCCTTCTGGATCTCGAAAGCCGTGGAGGTTCCCGAATACGAGGTTCGCGTAGAAGAAGACGTCGAACGCGAACCACTCAGGCGTCTCGATACCGCCCCTACGCTTCATGTTCTCGTCGACCTCCGAGTTGGCCTTCGATACTCGCGTGGACGCAGCCGTTGATACGCAGAGGCATACACCCATGACTCCATTCCACACCGCGGGGAAGTAGATACCCGTAGCGAACCATCTGCTCTCGGCAAGCATCTTCAGCCATACGAATACAGCATTCTCGCCGCCGCGTGGGACGTTCCAGTCCCACATGCGCTGGGCGACCTGCTGTTGCGATGGAGTATACTCTCCGGCGGCGTCCCAGTCCCCGTCCATGACAAAGGAGATACGTAAGATGGAAGATACGTGAATACGAAGATACGCAAATACGTAAATGCGAAGATACGCAAATGCACCTTGAGCACAAATGGCTGCGGCATACATGCGAATGTTGATGTGGCAAAGTGGCCAAGCCCATACGAACAGAAACGAACCACATACATGTGCCAAAGTGCCATTCGTGCGACGTCCGCCGCCGCACATGCGACCAAGGCAGGCATACCGACATCATGT